CCCCTCAGTGTAGCCACTGAAGGCAAACATTTACCCACAATGTGCTGTACGGGCTCCGGCCCAGCCTGGGATGTCCACAGGCCCTGACAACGTGGCTTTGAACCAAGAGAGAGCAAGGCCTCCACCGCCGAGCCCTTCAAAGGCTGGTGGGAAGTGCTGTCTGTTAATTCCAACCACATGGCAAATGAAGTGCTATTTAGCCCCTTTCCAAAATATTTTCCTCTCTTGATTTAAGGAAAGCTGGAGCTGTGCCATCGTTCAGACAGGCTGGGTCCAGCCCGGGGAAGGGAGAGCCAGCGCCCGTGCCCAGGGAAGCGCAGCCTGTCCCTCACTGGGCTGGCTGCTAGCTACAGACATGCCCGCGCAGACAGACGGAGGAGTGAATGGACAGGCGGGAGGCGGGAAGGGGGAAGGATGATAGGTGGGTAAACGAGGGGGCGGGGAGAGTGCAAACTTGCTTTGTTTACAGCTTCAAATCCGACAGGATTGTCTCTTTGAACATTTCAATTAAGACCAGGATGTTCTTTGGCCCTGGCAGCTTTGTTCTGCCTTTCCTCCTCCCCCACCTTCCTGGAATGTGTGGGCTGGAGAGAGGAACACAACGGGAGGCAAAAGGGAAAAGTTGTCCTATCCACCGAAGCCCGAGCTTGGGCAAGGCCACAGAGGACACCCACAACCAGCCTTCAGCATCTGCGGTGACCTGCTCCAAACCCCTCTCTGCTCAGGTGCTCAGCCCCACCCCTCCCCTGGAGCAAGGGACGGTCCCAGTCCACATCTCACTTGCTCCTCAGCAGCAGCGGACAAGCTGGACCCTTCCTCCTCCTGGCAGTGAGCCACTGTGTGGCACCTAGAGAGCAGCTCCTGTCCTCTGAGCCCGTGCCAGGCAGATGCTGGGAAGCTGGGAAGCATGCCTCGCTGGCAGCCCCTCGCCCAAGACTGCAGCCCCTTCCAGGGCTGGTCTGCAGGCCCCTGGCTGCCTGGTGAGGGATCCAAAGGCCTAGGTCCCCGCCTTCACGAGGCACAGCTCTGGGGGCTGTCCCCAGTCTCAGTGCTGTAGGACCGGCCAAAGCCTTAGTTCAACTGCCCAGAGCCTCCCTCTGCCCAGCCCCACAGCCCGCTTCCCTGCAGAGACACCTGAAATCACCCCACCCAACTCTCCAGCTCTGCCTCTGTTTCCAGGAAACCCACCTAGGACAGTCAGCTCTGGCAGCGGACCTGGGAGGCTGATTCCAAAGGCAGATGTTGGAGCCAGCCCTCTGACCAGCCCGGGGACAATGGAGACCCGCCACCCCTGGGAGATGGAGACCGGAGAGCTCTGGGTGCTGCCAAGGCATAAAAGGTGAATCGTGCCTATGGTGAGCAGGGCCGGGAGACCTGCAGAGGAGGACGCAGGGCCAGGGCAGCATCGCTGGCCCTGAGAGAAGTGGTCACATAGGACCAGGGAACCGGACAGCACTTGGCTGAGGTCACCGATTCACTGAAAATGAAAACAGGCTTAGGGCAATCAATGACTCATTCAAGGCACAAGGTGAAATCTCAGAGGCCTCCCTGACAGCAAGGAGGGAAGCCCTAATCTGAGCCAAGGACAGAGAGCAGAAAGGGAGCTCAGGACCCGACTGCACAAGCACCACGCTTCAGAAAAGATGGAATTCTAGCCCAGGCACACTCCCCACAACACATTCAGGGCTCCAGTGTGCGAAGAATGGGACTCGAGGCCAGGGATGTCGACACTTAGAGATGCAATTCCTAGATCCCGGAATCTGCTAAGAGGAGAGGGCAGCGCAGTCCACTCCCCTATGAGGAGACAGTGCCCCACCTGACTGAAGCCCCTGCAGTGACTCAAATGAGGCAGGTTCCAGGCGGTGCCAGAGACAAGTGCCCCCTCTCCCTCCTGCAACCAGCATCACAGCTGGCACACCCCAGTGGGAAGGCGCTGGTCTGTGAGAGGAAGAATGAGATCACCTCCCTGTGTTCCCAGAGGGCTGCAGGGCCAGGTGGCATGCCGTAGCAGGGGAATACATGCCCATTTGGGAGTGCCACATCAAGGTTCAGAACCGCGGGTAAGGAAGGAAGTGCCGGCATGGAGGGCTTTAGCCTCCTGGAAAGACCCGGGTTACACAGCTCGTGCTTATGGCTCCTGTCTCCTGGAAGCTTGCAAGAAGCAGGGTCTGTGAGAAGCGGAAATGCCAGCGTTGCCACAGCAGACAGCAGAGGCACAGCGGAGGCTCTCAGAAGTGGGCCTGCGTGAGCAGATGGGCTGCATAGGAAGGAAACCCACCAGGTTCCATGTTCCCAGGAATGGCTGGGGGACGCCCCACACCCCCATGAGAAGACCCCGTGAGCGACACACTCTTGGAGGTCCTCGCAGGCTGGGCTGATGGCAGGAGACGCTGTTGCAGACCTCGGCGGCAGTGCCACAGCCAGAAGCAGGCGTGAGTGCATGATGAACAAGAGCTGAGAGGCCAGCGAGTGCCAAGAGCCAGGCAATGGCTTAAGGTCTGCCATCAGAGTCAATCAAGGTTGGGGGACACAATGGTTTGAGCATGTCCCCTCCAAAGTACAGGTATTGCCAATAGGCTTGAACGTGTCAAGAGGTGGAGCCTTTAAGAGGTGACCAGGCTGTGGGGCTCCTCCCCCTCTAGTGGGGTTAGCTGTGCTTATGAAAGGGCTTGACTCTTCCACCTTCCACTGCAGGGGACACAGCACACCTCGCCTCCGGATGACTCAGCACCAGGCGCCACCCTGGAAGTGGCGAGCAGCCCTCACCAGGCACCTAACCTGCCGGCCCCTTGATCCTGGACTTCCAGCCTCCAGAGCTGCCAGAGGAGACCTGTCTGTTCTTCATCAGTTACCCATCCTTGGGTGTTTTGTTGTAGCAGCACTAAGCGACTGAGACAGACAGAGATACCAAGGGCAAAGGCGCTCTAGAAAACCAGTGAGTCCCTCGCCCGCTGTCAGGTGCTAAGGCACCGGCCAGAGGAGAGGGCGGGTCCCTGGGAGGAAGGCCCTGCAACCTCATGGCAAGGATGGCCCGTCACATTCCTGGGTCCTTCCCCAAAGGGGCAGCGGTGTGCCAGAGAAACAGGAAGGCCCAGACCCCTCCGGGACTGCTGAGGGTGATCCTGGGTGCCCGAAGTGCCCCAGGCCCAGAGTAGCAGGGCTCTTCGTCTTTCTGGAGGGTGAGTCAGGCCTCCCCGCCCTGGCCCACTTGTCCTTGGGTCCTCATCCATGTGGGATGAAGTCTGAAGACATCACCAGGCCCTCCCCGCACCCCAGCCCAGGGTGGGACTGCAGGAGTGATAACTGAAGACGCCCTGGACCGCCCGTGATGAAGGCCAGTTCCCTTCCACCTTCTGGACCGCCACCTCCCCGCTCTGCACTTTCACCCCCTCTCAAGAACCACAGCCTCTAGGGCCCAGCTCTCTGTTTCTGAGGAAAGCATTAGGGTGGGGACGTCGGTGGTCTCACCACTTGCATTGTAAAAGACACACAAAGGGCAATGCTCTAGTCTAAGAAAAGACTTTCTAATGGTGGAGTTTCTGGCAAAAAGGCAGGGCCCAGATGAGGCAGTTAGTGCTGCTGGGCAAATAATTGCTTCCATATTTATCTCAAAGCATTAAAATGGGCACCAAATCAATATTGCTTTAATAAAAACAAACAAAAACTCGGCCTATACTCTGCCAGCACACCCTGAGCATGTCTCCAGCGTCACTAGAATGGGACAGACATTTGACTGCATCTTGCCTGTTCCTTGTTAACTTCTTGCTTGCCTTCCTCAATTGTGAGCTCACTGAGGGCAGGGATAGGACTGAAGTATCCTCTGCATCTTTAACCTCAGGCCCTTACGGACTGGGGGATGGGACGGAGATGTGGCAGGCAGAGTCCAGCCTCCCCAGACCCGCCTCCCAGCCCTGCGCATGTGCTTGGCAACTCCCTGATGGGAGCCCAGGCAAGGCTGGGGCTCGTGCGTGTCTCCCCTGCCGGGCTGTGAGCCCCCGCTTGTCCAGGCCAGCCCAGCTGCTGCTTGACGCCAGACCAGGTCCCGGCCCCCAGAGAGTGCCTGGTGGAGTCTGTCTGGCTGAGCTCTGACCCAAGGGGGTAAGGAATTATTTCCTTCCCTGAGGCTTCATTTTGAAAATAAATTTAGGCCGGGCGCGGTGGCTCACGCCTGTAATCCCAGCACTTTGGGAGGCCGAGGCGGGCGGATCACGAGGTCAGGAGATCGAGACCATCCTGGCTAACACGGTGAAACCCTGTCTCTACTAAAAATGCAAAAAAAATTAGCCGGGCGAGGCGGCGGGCGCCTGTAGTCCCAGCTACTCGGGAGGCTGAGGCAGGAGAATGGCGTGAACCCGGGAGGCGGAGCTTGCAGTGAGCCGAGATCGCGCCATTGCACTCCAGCCTGGGCGACTAAGCGAGACTCTGTCTCAAAAAAAAAAAAAAAAAAAGAAAAAGAAAATAAATTTAGTAACTTCTAAACAAATCGTACCGACTCTCCCAGTTGTATTTGTTTAGTTAAATTAATTCTATTTTAATATTTCCATTAGTCATTTAATTTATTCTAAAACCTGGCACTGCAAAGTAATAAAACCTCTCAAATATTGACAGACAGAAAGTAAATGTCGCCCAGCTACAACCATCTGTTTTTCCTCCAAATTCCTCAAGATGGAGAGTGCACCGCCGTGCTTGATTTACGGCCTTCCTGGGCCCATGCGTGGCTGGCTGGCAGCCTCCTGAGCCAGCGCTGCTGGGGGCAACACTCTGGACTCAACAGGGTGAGAAGGGAGGGAGGAGAGGGTCTGGGGTGTGGTGAGAAAGTCTACATGACAAACACAAGTGGAGTCCCGGCTTCAAAATGGATAAACTGGCTGAAATGCAAAAGCTCGCTGCTTTCCTGCCACCTTCCCCAGCGCCAGCTGCCCTGCGACATCCCTGGCATGCCAGCCCAGAAGCCACATACGCCACCTCCCCTGCACCACCTGCGCCTCCACCCCCTTTCCCCCACCCACCTACCCTGCTCCTTGGATGACAGACAGGCGCCCTCCTTCCTGGCAGTCCAGCCGGGGGCAGGGACGCCCCTTTAGAAGCAGGGTCTCCAGGGCCCTTGGCTCAGAGCCCTTCTGCGGGGCACGCTTGCTGAGGGTGTGCACTATCACTGGGGGTGGCGGAGCCTGGCACCACGGTCAGCTCCTCTTCAGCCAGGTGTGGTGTGGTCTGAGGGACACTCTCCGGGCTGCACAAGAGACACAGCCAGGTGTGAAGTGGGTCCCACCTCTCCTGACCTGTAGGAGCTTCCACTTCCCCTCTCAGCAGAGATGCAAGTGGACCGGATTCCCCACAGGGGTGCCGGGTGGGCACATCTGCCCCGTGCCCAGCCCCGTAGCCCAGCCCCGTGCCTAGCCAGGCCTAGCCCATAACCAGGACCCAGCATCTCCTGGAAGAAAAACTTTCACTTGGGCCTCTGCTATCTGGTTAGACTTCCCCCAAAAGCAGAGGGCCAGAGAGGGAGGCCACACAGCCCCACCCCAGCACTCCCCACCCGTCAGCGCATTTCAGTGTGACCTGTGTTTACACGGCACACATACTTACAATTCCTCTGCAACCACCGCTCAAAGCCTGGGCAGCCACAAATATTCCACAGTGCTTGTCAGGGCCCAGCAGCCCCAGCCTGCCCCGCCTGCGCCTCCCTCACTGCCCTTGGTGCTTCCGCTGCCTCTGCCCGCAGCCCTGCCGCGGCGCTGCCCACTGCTAGGGGAGGCCAGGCACCGCCCGAGCACTCTGCGGGCCCTGCTGGAGTCTGTGCAGTGGATGGAGGGCCAGACAATGCGTGTGTCCAAGTGTCTGTCAGCCCCACAGCTTGCTCCGGCGACACCGAGATGCCTCAAGGAGCTCAGGGCCCCGTGGGAGACACACCAGCAAGCGAGGAAACATGCCAGCATGCCCCAAGTGTAGCAGTGGAGTCTGCAAGAAGCCAGCAGGGCACAAAAGGTGGGCACCCGGCCTGCTGGGAGGACCGGGAGAGGGTTCTGAGAGCAGTGTAGCACCAGGATGAGCTCTTCAGATTGTGAAGTCCTCCAGGAAGAGAGGGCAGTATGAGTGAAGGGTCGGGGAACAGAGCAGTCTCCCCAGTTCAGTGAACCCCACAGCTTGCTTGGCTGCAGCAGAAGGTATGAGAGGAGAGGGAGAATGGAAATGGCCAGACCTGCAGCTGGGAGGAGAGCACAGGCTTCACCCTGAGGGCAGTGGGGAGCCACAGCAGGCTTTAGCCTACAGGAGGAACGTGCTCCAACTCGAATCTGAGACACTTCCCTGGGACAGGCGTGGAGGACGGACTGGAGGAACCCAGCCTAGGAGGAAATGCTGAAGAGAGTGGGAAAGAGCAAGCTTGGGAAGGCCCTGGAAAACTTTTTCCAAATTCCTGCCCGTGGCTTGGGCAGAGTCTCAAGGAGGTGTGTTGAACAGCCGGTAGGTACCATGCAGATTGGCAGGGGCTATGTGTGTGTGGTTGGGGGAGGGGGGCGGGGGGTGATGCCTCTGACGCAGGGGGAGCCCCAGGAGGACCTTGGTGGATGTTGCTGAAGGGAACGGGACTCAGGTAAGGCCTCTGGCATCGCATCCAATAAAGGAACATTGAGCAACTGCTATGCAGACCACCACTGTGCCCACGCTCACTCAGGGCTCCCTCCAGAACTGGGAAATGGGACAGGAATCTAAGAATTACACACAGTGCAAAGGACAATTCTGAGGGTGCAGCCAAAGGGTCCGTGGCAGGGGGTGAGTGATTCTAGGCCCTTCCTTTCACTAGAACCCCAGAGTCTTCCTGGGCCCCCAGTCCCAGCAGCCTTACCAGATACCCACAGAGACCTGGGGTGCAAGTGGCTCCTCCAGCCCTGGCTTCCCCTAACCCCACACCAGAGGACAAAACTGCTGGGTGTCAGACAGGAACAGAACCCCCAACACGGCCGTGGTGCCACCACAGGGTGCCACCGCAGCCCTCATTTACCTTCTTCAAGCTTCAAGGCAGCCATAGGTGTGAAACCACAGAACAGACTGCACAGACGAGGGGAAGGAAGCAAGAGAAATGAGGTTCCGTGCAAGAACGCAGGGCGGCAGGCAGCTGCAGCCCAGGTGGGTGGGGCGACACCCACACTCTACCCACCATGGCTCACTCCCAGCCACATGGACCTCAGTCCTGAAGCCCCAGCCTGCTGCATCCAGGCCCCTGCAGGAGGTGCAGCACACCGACACGTGCGTCCCCTCGACACGTGCGTCCCCTCGGCACGCTGCGCCCCATCTCTCCATGAAGGCTCCACGGCCTTCTCCCAGTTCTTAACTACATATCTGAGTCTTCACTTATCCCAACAGGTTCTGCTGACATTCTGGGAATTAATGAAGCTGGGTGCAGCCTGCCAACCTCACAGCTCCAGAGGAGGAAAAAAGGGAGTTGTGTGTTCACAGCCAAAAGAGGAGTTCATAAATTTTCCTAAAATTACTAGATGTGTGTAATTTATGGCCAAGGCCAGACACTCCAAGCCCCCAAGGAGCAGAGCAGTGGCTGCAAGGAGGCATCATGGGAGAATGGCCACCGTGGGCTCTGCCATGCTCCGAAGAACAGCAGGGAGGTGGCAAGTGACGGGAAAGGGGTCCAAGAAGTAGCATCCAGAAAGATGAGGTAAAGGCAGCGCTGATTCCATTCTCGTGCCAAGCTATCCTTAAGCATCAGACAGAGTGAGCACCTAAGCAGATGGCCGGCTGGGAACGCCGCAGGGACCCTCCTCAGCCGCTAAGTGAGAAATGCCTGAGGTTGGCCCCCAGCACACGGGAGCCCCTGGAGACAACATGGCCCTCCCTGCTGCTGGCAGAGATCAAAGGTTCCTCGAGACAGGGACATCACCAAGGCTGGGCCGGATGACCCTGCCGCAGGGTAGCTACTAATATTCAGGTGGCAAAGACCACATTAGCCACCCAGCACCTGCATCTTCACGCACCTTGGGTGCCCGCTCCTCACAAGCATACACAGGCCAGGATGCTCCCCACACCCGGCCAAAAAACAGAAAAGCTCTGCAGGTGTCTTAGGACCCGTTCCTCGAGGAGGCCCCGCACCTTTGGTGTACCCATTTTCAGTTGACACAGGTCTGAGCAGCTGTGCCCTTTCCAAGGCCACACAGGTAGTCAGTGGCAGAAGCGAGTTTCAGATTCAGATCTCACATCCCCGCCACCCACATTGTCCCCCAGCTGTGTCTCCTTACACCCATGACAATCAGAGGCGGCATGTTTGTGTCATCGTCATGCCTTTAACTAACACACGAGATACTATATACATTTTCTTGCTAAACATATTTTTAAAGATAATGAAGAACTATAGGTGCCCACTGTATTTGAGAAGACAAAGCGCCAGTGGAAAGCAGAGGGCTCCCCTCCTCCCGTGGACGTACAGCCGCAGGTGGCCAGTGGCCTGGGAGGAAGCCTGCCCAGGCGTGGGGGAACATTCCCGGATCCCCGGCCCCACCTGGCTGTGAATTTATCTGCAGCCCCTGGCCCACCAGGCTTTGGGGGGAGCTTTTCCGGACCAGCACTCTAGGCCAGTCCCGGAGCCATCCCTGGAGGGGCCACGGCCATCGTGGGAAGGACGCCAAGCCAGGGAAATGGGGACTCTGATGTAGGCTCCAAAGCACTGCCCTCTGCTGAGAGGCTGCTATTTCCTGACAAACGCACCTCCCAGAACAACCTCACTGTTAGGATGAAAAGCCATCTTGGAGGAGGGAAAAAAGGACGCCCCCACGGAGGTGACTCCAAGTTTCCATGGTCGAGTGGAGTGAGCAGCCCACCCCTATCCATCATGACAGCTGCCCTCCTGCCAGGCTGTCCCAAGAGCTCTGAGGACAGTTGAGGTCGCAGACAGTTTAGGAACAGAAGAGGCAGGGTGGAGGGGCCAGAGAAGGAAGGCGGTGAGCTTGGCCAGGGCAGCCGCACAGTGATGTGACCGTGTGGCCTGTGGTGAGCTGGAGTGGTGGGCGGCCCCGGGCCACTGTGCGCAGCTGACCAGGCCGCGAGCTTCTTCACCACACTGCCCCACCACCTGCCCATCGGGCCATGAGACTAGCAAGCCCACCACTACCATGCAAGTCACAGGAGGTGGAGTCACGGGGCTGGGGGCCCCCTGGAGGCCGACCAGGCCACAGGCCGGTGCAGAAAAAGAAGATTCAGTCCTGAGGGGTCAGAGGTGAGGGCTTGAGGTCACCAGACCCGAGTTCAAGCCTGACCTGAGTCTTGACCGTGGAACCTCGGGCAAACGGCTCCAACTCTCTGAGACTGGTCTTCCTCATCCATCCGCGGGGACTGAGGATTCCTGTCCAGCAGTATAACGGGATGAAATGAGATCACGTGTTTGCCGATGAGACGTGTAGATAATATTGCAACTGCTGGGGCCTGAGGGCTGCATGGGCGAGACACTGTGCCATCTCGGATGGGCCTGGAGCCTCCCGTATGAAGGCAGCGTGATGGCCATTCCCATTTTACAGACGAGATGACTGAAGCTCACAGCGGGAAGGAAGGAGCCCAGTCCCACGGGGCTAGGAAGTGGCCATCAGGCCCAGAACGTGGTCTGCCTGGCTCCAAGGACCCAGCCCTCCCTCAGACCCCAGCCCCTCCTGGAGGAGGAGCCTATAGATTCCAGTCTCTTCCTGTGGAGACCGGAAGTGGAGGCATTTTCAATGTGCAAATTTTCCTTCCCTGAGATTCTGGGAGATTCTTCCAAAACTGCAACAGCACAGACAGGAGGCTGGAAGAGACGTGTCCTGCTCTGGGGCGGGGGTGTTCATCCCTCCCCTGTTTACAGGGGGTCCCTCTGCACCCCTTGCCCTCCTCCACAGGGACGTTCTGAATGGTGGCAGGAAGGTCACTGTTTCATCATTCAGAGATACCTCCCGCCAGACAGATCAGCTAGGCTCTGGGCTCTGGCCACCCCTGGCCTTACATGTCACCGTGGAGGGCAGCCCAAGCTCTCCTCTCTCCTCCTTCCGCCAGACAGATCAGCTAGGCTCTGGGCTCTGGCCACCCCTGGCCTTACATGTCAGTGTGGAGGGTGGCCCGAGCTCTCCACTCTCCTCCTTCTCAGGGTCAGGAATGGTATTGTTTTTGCAAAGAACAGCTTCAGAAGCTCCCTCGGGCTGGGCAGGAATTAAATCACAAGTGTTCCAGGGCAGGGACAGGCTCAATGTCCCCATCAATCTTCCCACGGGGCATTGCAGGCTCCGGCTGAGAAGGATTTACGGGGTAGGAGGGGTGTGGGACAATGGCTGCCCCTCCCAGGCCCTGTCGGCAGCTTTTTCCCACGGTTGGCTCCGACCAGGCCCTAATGGATGGGTCAGAAAGGTCAGCTCACGGGGGTTCGCTCCTGCATGCCAGAGGTTGCCGCCACAGTCAGCTCGGGCTGGGGGCTTACCGCTGGTGTCAGTTGCTCTTTATTCTCTTCTGTATTTTCCAAAGTCTCTGCAAAGAGCATGTATTACTTTTAAAATCAAAAGAGGAGAGGAAACAATAACATTGTTTTGTTTTGTTTTGTCTTGTTTTGTTTATAAGCGTGTTTTTCTCCAGTGCTAAGCAATGGGCAGGCATGTCCCACCAGCCTGCAGGGAGTGCGGACACACGGCGGGGAGCCTGGACTTGTCTGACTTCCCAGGGAACCTACATAAAAAGCCCTTCTCGTTGGAAACAATGCTCTTGCTAAGTGCAGGCACAAACCTCCCCTAGAGAAACCCGAGCTGTGTCCGGATCCCAGCCCGGGAACCGCCCCCCCAGGCTGGCTGCCACATTCAGCTGCAGTCCTGCACCCCACCCAGTCCCCATCCATCTCCCTCCTCCCCACCAAGTCAGACACGCTGGGGCCTGGCCCAGGGCTCTGACCCGAGCAGCCGGGCCAGCATCAGCACCATTTTGGTCAGAAAGGTCTGGGTGCTTGGATGAGGCCCTGGTGACCTGGGAGGAGGCGAACATGGGCCCCTACACATACCTCTGTACCTGCCCTCCTACCTCCGCAGAACCTTAGCAAGTTGCTTCACCTCTTGGCACCTCGTTTCCTGTCTTTCATGGACATCATCCCATTTAGTGGAGCACACAGGAAAGCCACTCAGGCAGGCCCTGGCTTGAAGGAAGCACCCATGTGTTCGTAGTTATTGCCATCCGTGCCACTAATCTACCCTGCAGCAAACAGATCTGAGCCCCGTCTACACCTCTGTGCTTGAAGCAGCTATGACAGTGGACAACTGATCCCTCGTGGCCGCCTTAGAGGCAACCTGCGGTTGGGTCGTAGCAAGACAAGAATTATCCTCACTGCATGAAACAAGTAACCTGACCAGCCCCACCGCACAGCCGTTCAGCGTCTCTGAAGGGCCTGCCCCTGCCCGGCAGCCTGCTTGGGCCGGAAGGATCCAGAAGGATCCAGAGTGGCTCCTGCCCGGCCGTGAGCAACCTCATGCTATAAAACCTGTCATTTCCTCTGGAGCAGCGTGTTGAGAAGGGTCCTCGGGCTGCCTGTCAGTGCAGCCTGAAAATGTTCAGGGGTAGATTAGTGATGCCTGCCACAGGCACAGGCGGGCCCTAATGTTATGAGTGCTGAGGCCGTGCCGTTGCCAACCCTGCCACAGTGCATCGGAGGCAACGCTGGCTTAGGGTAGAGACACAGTTAGAACCCAGATCCTTTGACCTCAGTGTGGTGGTCACCAGCATGGCGCCACCAAAGCGCCAGGAAGTTACTTGTCAAGTTTTCCTTTTGTGTTTTGGTGAAGACCTCGCCATGTTTACAGTGCTGCTGAGAATTGGACGCAGGGCATGTGTTCCCCGTGTGCATAGCACACCGGCTCTCCGGATGATCCTGACCTGTCCCCAGCTGTGACTGGTCCCTTCTCCCCAGGCACCCGAGGGAAGCTGCGCCCCTGCCCCGTGCCCCTCCTGCCCCTGGCCTTCCTCTGTAGGATGGTCGCCCTGGACAGCTTTCATTCTCTCAGAATCTGGAGAGAGGGAGAGACGTACAGACGCTTCTGAAGTTTCCCCTTCAGACACTTCTCGTTTCCCCTCTGCACCCTCACAGTGCCCCCGTGGGCTTCCCAAACCCAGGGCCATCTCCCAGAGCCCACAGCCAATCTTCCGGAACAACCAGCACCCTGAAGACACCGACCCCTTCCTACCTGAAAGGCACGGAGCCCCTGGCCTCCCAGATGGCAGATTGGCGGCACCACCAAGCCCAGCCTTGTGTGTCCTGGCAATGGATCGGCCACAGGCATGGAACCTGACCGAGACGAGCACTGCAAACAGCACAAGCTTCTTTGCCCAACGCAGTCACTGAGTGCCCAGGCTGCCACTGTGTGCCAGCAGGCAGAGGCTGTCCCTCTCACAGGCTCTTGTCCTGCCTGTGAAGTGGGACTGTGAAGGTGGCCTGGCCTCCGGGCAGCCCCTGTGCAGCGCAGGCATCCTTGAGGCTGAGTGCTGTTATTCTTATCACTGTGTTCACGCACCCGGCACTGGGATCTCACCCCAAGAAACGAGGCAGCTGGGGCTGCAGCAGGCTGAGAAACACCAGCAATCCCGGAACCAGGAACCAGGAGTGGACCCCCGCTTCCTGCACCCAGCAGGCAGCACACCCAGAAGATGCAGGGGGCAGGAGGGGTGGCAGCCAAGGCCCTTCCCCACTGCCCTTGCTCAGCCTTATCTTGGCCAGAGCCACTCGGGGGCCTGGCAAAGGAAACAGGCATCTCAGGGCCACGAGGGCATCAAGGGGGGCTGCAGTGAGGAGGGAAGATGCAGCTGTCTCATTTGCAGGGCAGGACCCCAGCAAAGTGTCTGGTTGCCCAGCTGAAGGGTGCTGGGCCCAGGACCCGCCCTCACTGGCCCGAGCTCCCGGGCAGGTGTTCAGGGAGGTAGGGGGATGAGCATACACTCCCCTGGCTTCCCCAGTGCCTTTCCCCACATTGTCCCCCACCAGAGACAGCACAGCTGGTGAGCTGATTCAGGTTGTGGGCTTCTCGGCCAGGCTCCCGACCCTGGGGGCTGTGAGATGCGGTCTTGAGTCCCCAGCAGCCTGCTGCTAGGAGTGTGATCACCAGCCTTCTGGCCCTTTCCTGAGCTGGGAGAGGCTGTGCTCGATGGGACACAGGCCCTGAGGCCGCTATGAGAAAGACAGTGCCACGCCTCCCACCGCGGGGACACTCGACACTCCCTTGCAGTGCCCATTCGTCCTGCCACTTCAGGCACCCAGGCGTGTGCCCTGCCCCAGCCTCGGATCTGTCTTGCCTGACTGTGAACCTAACGTGAACTAGAGCAGAGTGTGAATGCCAGCTGGTACCTCTAAGAGCTCTGCTCATCATTCCTTGGAGGACAGGTGCCTGTTTCGAGGAATTTTCCCATCCATATCTGCCTCTTCAACAACCCTGGGAGGCCGTGTAAGGCCCATGTCTCTCTGTCACACCACAGGGTCCATCCCTCAAGGGGAGCCCCCACAACCCAGCGTGTCACCTGAGCCACCTCTGTGTCCCCCGCACCGCCTGGCTCAGGGGTGGTGCCCAGGAGATGTTGGGTGGATGGCATGAATAAGCACAAATTGGTGGAGAGCCAGGATCTCAGTGAAAACACCTTGCTGATACAGAATCCTTTTCACCAAAATGCGGTTTTACCCCCTTTTTCCCCTTCTTCTTCATTCAGAGAAATTTTCACCCCTGTCACTATGACCCATGGTGGGCAAAAGCAAGAGGAGGTCAGGGGACGAAATGGCCTTCATCTTCTCTGGGTGGGAAAGACAAACGTGTGTGCCATGGGTTCAAGCATCTTCCTTCCTTCCTTCCTTCCTTCCTTCTTTCTATCTTAGATAGAGTTTTGCTCTGTTGTCCAGGCTGGAGTGCAATGGCACAATCTCTGCTCACCACAACCCCCACCTCCCGGGTTCAAGTGATTCTCCTGCCTCAGCCTCCCGAGTAGCTGGGATTACAAGCATGCACGACCATGCCTGGCTAATTTTGTGTTTTTAGTAGAGATGGGGTTTCTCCATGTTAGTCAGGCTGGTCTTGAACTCCCGACCTCAGGTGATCCACCCACCTCGGCCTCCCAAAGTGCTGGGATTACAGGCCTCACGCCCGGCCTCAAGCCACTTTCTACAGCAAAACCACCTGTGTTATCAACTGTGTTGTAATAAACTACCCAGAAATTATCAACTGAAAACAACACAAGTTCATTACCCCCCAGTTTCCACAGGTCAGGAACCTGGACTTGGCTCTGCTGGGAGCCCCTCACCAGGTCAGTCAGGAGGATGCAGTCAAGTTGTCAGTGGGCTGCAGCCTCACCCAGAGGACCAGCTAAGGATCAGCCTCCAAGTGCTCCCCTGTGGCTTTGAGAGGCCTGATCCCTTGCTGTGTGGACTTCTCTGCAAGGTTGCTTACAGCATGGCAGCCAGCTTCCCCCAGGACGAGTGACCTGAGAGAGTGAGAGAAAGCACCCGGGACAGAAGCCACAACCTTCTCGCAGTCGAATCTTGGCAGTGATGCCCCATTGCTCCGCCAGATTTTGTCCATCAGAAGTGAGTCAGTGAGTCCAGCCCACAGTCAAGGGCAGGGGATCATTCAAGGTATGAATAGACCAGGGCACCCTTGAGCCGGCCAGACCTTTCTCAAAACTGTCAGCCACAGCCTCTCCCATTCCACGGGCTCTTCTAGAACCCTGCCACTCAGCCGTCAAGAGGTGGAGCCAGTGTCCCCACTCCTCTCACCTGAGGGAGCCCCTGTGACTTTTCCATTCAGTATCCCGTGTGACAGTGATGTGCTGCGCCATCTAAGGCCCCCTGGTTTTCTGGAGATGCCCGCTCTTGGAACCGGCCTCCCTGCCTTAAAGAAGCGTATGAAGAGGCCTGCGCTCACGTGAGCTCCTGGGCGACGCCTGCAGCAGCCTGCCAAGCGAGTGCATCCTTTGGGAAGAGGCCCTCTGGCCCCAGGTCGCAGTGACACCATGAGGAGCAGTCTCTGCCTAGCCAAGCCCAAATTGAAGATTCATGAGAAAAACAAATTCTTGTTATTTTAAGCTTGTTACCCAATAATAACGTGGTTCCTATATGCTGCTCTCCCACTGTGAACCCCAGTCCACCAACCCCCAGGCCAGGAGGGGCACGAAGGAGTGGCCATGTGGCATCCCACAGATGTGGCCCACAGGTGCTGCTGTGTCTCCAGCAAAGGCAAGGGAGCCCACAGCTGCAGGGGTGAGGTGTCATCAAGGGTCTGGGGCCCTGGGAGTGTGGGTGCTGGGCAGAGCAGTCATCAGGCTACAGTCTGAAGCCCAGCCCACGGCCATGGTGGGGGCAGGGCAGGGGTCTCATAACAGCTGCCCCGAAATTGTGTGCCCAGCTGGCGAGGGCAGGGCCTGGCACAGAATGCACACTTGATTTTGGCTGCAGACAAGCCTCCCGAGCTCATCTGCAGGTGGAGAGGCACCAGAGCCCCCACGCCGAGGGAGCTGCTCGGGGCCAACCCCATGGAGAGTGGCCATGTTCAAGTGGGGCCTGGG